ATGAGAATGCTAAATGTATGAATTAGTGTTACAGGCTGTAAAGTGAGTTGGTTCATAAGAGTAGCTTACATGTGGATACACAAGTGTCGTCATGTTTTATAGATGTATGTGTATTTACATGTATATACTATCTTAACACGGATATTTCTTCAGTTGTATTGCAATAGAGAATATAGTTTTAATTGATAGTATTTAGTGATTCAGTGATAAACGTGTTGATATTTATTTGATTACTGAGTAATGTTGACCTAATTGTGCATTCCAGCATGCCTCAAGCGTAATGAGTGCACCCACTGTGTACACGTGAGTTCAGATCAAGCTAAAAATGCTTTACTAGTAGAATCCAATTTCTGATGAGGGCAAGATGAACCCTTTAAGTAAGTAAGAATATCCACAGCATTGGTTATTTATGTTTATGCCTATATATTATAATTTTAGTGTATTGCAAGTGAGTTAATGCTAAATATAGATATTATTATGCAAATGAGATAATAAAAATTCATAAGTTGTATATTTTATGTACAGAGAAAGTTCAAATTTATTTTCTTATACATACTTAGTACCCACAGTTTGTTGATGCAAGTGCACATTATGACGTCATACCATGACGTTATTGTTCTCTCCCATTATGGAATTTGATCACATCAATAAAATCACGTCGGCGCAAAGGCATAATCTATTTTATTTAAAATAAACAAATAAAATATTAAGGAGAATATTCTTAAAAGGAATAAAATTGCTGCTCAAATCCTATGCACTCTCTCAATCGATAAAAACATTTAGGAAATTTACACTTTTCTGTGATTTTTTACCGGTTTAAACTTAAAACTGCACTAATAGTAACTAAATAATTGCAATACCACATTTGTGCAGCAATATCTTAAATCCTTGGAAATCCTGCGTCTTTTTGTGCCTTGTTCCTGTAAAACAAAGTAAGATATGCCCTTGTGCTGAAGGATTTTTTTATGTTTCTTATAAACTTGTGTAGTAGAGGTCCATAATACTGGCTATTGCATGTCCTTGGTACTTGGGTGCATATTTTTCTTCATTTCAGCATTGAACTTTTTATTACCATTTATCCCAAATGAAAATATTCTTTTATTAACCTGTATATTTTATACACATCCCTAACCCTATATAAGCTTCTCTTCTCAACCCCAATCAACAATAATTTTATCAAATTGAAAAAAAAAACGATTTTATTAGGTTTAATGGACGATTATAAAGGATCAGGCGGCAGATAATATATACAGATTGGTAAAAGAGTATTTCTCAAATTAGGAAAGGGATTAATTAAACAATGTAGAAAAGTAGAGTAATTTATCCTTAATCATGAGCTGAAAATCTTGCCCCGTAAATTCCACATTTGCATTTGAATAATGGGATTTGTCGCATTTTTCTCTAAAAGAGAAAATTTAACAAATATATCAATATAAAGTTAAGGTTTAAGAAGCTAGCTTAAAAACTTCAAACTGCTAAAGAAGAGCGGTAAATTTAATTTTCGCTGATGACGTTGCTCTGTCAAGGCTTTCAATTTCAATGTCATCACATTAAATCATATAATCATATAATTCTTTGTTCTCCGATTCATTTAAATGGAGCTCAAATGCAGCATTTCCGCATAATTTATAAACACGTTACACGTGCAAATAAAGAGAAATATTTCTATATGAAAATAAATATACATATTAAAAACAACACACATGTATGGAAATGATAAACTAATAGAGTTATTTACTTCTACTCCCGGTATTTTCTTCACAATTTATAAACACATTACACGTGCAAGTGAAGAGAAGCATTTGTATCTGAAAATAAATCTTAACTACACACGTGTTCAGAGATAATAATTCTATACTATTTCTCTACAGTTATCTGACCTTTCACTTCAGTTAAAAACATGGCATGTATAAAAACTAAAATTCAAAGAATGTATAAAAACATTTCCGTTTTTATTTATATACTTTATAATATCATATGATTATCAACAAGAAGATTGTAATATCAAAACAAAAAAAATAATTATGTAGAAAGATTAAATAATATTTTCTTGTTTTAGGAAGTAGGGTTACATGTATATCACTATTTTTAGAACATAATACATATTTGGACTTTACAACAAATTTATTACACATATTAATATTATATCTATAAATGTATGACATTAGAAAATGACATCGATACAACCATTATGTCAAGAATAAAATCATTGTTATATATTATTATTAAACAATTAATTATGTAGAAAGATTGAATGCGATTTCTTTTGTTTTTAGAAAGTAAGGCTAAACGTATAACACTATTTTTAGAACATTATAAATATTAAGACTTTACAATGAATTCAAAACACATAATAATATAATATCTATAAATGTATTACTTTGTAATATAACTTCGATTCCATCATTATGTCAAGAATAAAGTCATCATCATTTATTATAAAAGTATATAACTTTTCATAATATGTGTGAACAACTATGGATATAAGATATAAGACATAACACTGTCATTGAGGTTTGAATCCTCTTTATCTCTCTACCATCTCTTATTGTAAGATAATCTGTTTCACGGTGTGACCGTTGGGGCGAGCGCAGTTGTGACAATCAAAAATACGAAAACTTGAAAAGCTACTTCAAACATCAAGTCGCACGAAACATCTCGACTAGCTGTGACGTCACGGAGACTTTTTATCGAAAAACATTGCAGAGATATTTATTGTTTCTTTGAAACATTTTATGCTTTACGTTAAATATTATTTATTTAATCATTTATTCGCGCAATGGACATTGGGTAGTAAAGAAAATCTGGGAATGTTTCACAACAACATTTGCTTGACGTATGTACAATTCCGAATTTCCTCTGTTCTTACACTTTAGTCTATTGAGCTCGCTGCGCTCGTTATAAAGAAAGTCAGTGAGGTTTTATCATCATGAGAGTTTCTTTTATCTGTTTACCATCAGTCACTGTAGGATACCACGGCCAGTACCAGTACCCCGGGGACCATTGACCGTTTAGTAAGGCCTGGCGACAGGCGTTATACCACCAGCCGCCTCTACTGCTACTGTGAGCAGCACAGTTAAATAACCAATTTCTGTCATTGTCTCTGTCTGGGGCGGAAAAAGGCATCCCAGACAGATCTCCACCAGGACTCCCAGTGTGTAACATACTGTCTCCTGTAAAATTAAAGAGATATTTATTTAAAAAAAAGATCATTGTTATTTACTTTCAATTTAAAGCTAAAGGAAAACGTCTATAAGGTTCAAGATTAAAAAACTTTTTTGAAATTGAATTGTATTACTTAAAATTATAATTAACAACACCTTTAATCATTATCATTTATTATTGTTTCTTTGTTGTCTGTCAAGTGATTTCTTATTTTGACTGTATACGAACATGTTGATGAGTCTCAAAAGAAATAAAAATATTGATTTATTGTATGTTGCGTAGCGTCCGTCTCGAGAATTTTAAACGTTTAATACAGGACCAATAAGCAGTGGGAGATGTTTTTTTTTTTCGTGCCAGCACTTAGTGCAACATGGGACCTCGGTTTATACGATATAATAAACCAAAGGACCAGTCTACACGCCCTACAGTGGGATTGGAACTCGCGACGTAAAGATTCCTTACTTCGCGGCTCTAACCATCGCGGGTGGCGTCAATAAATTCAATTATTATTTCATTCTTATGAAGCCTTTTTCTGAACATTAAAACTGGTAAGCCTATATACGTACATATAAAGAAGGGATATTCAAAATAATAATTTCATGAACCAATAAATTGATATAATATTAGAAAATAACGGTTTAATTTTTTTCTTTTTTTTTGGGGGGGGGGGTGCACCTCTTTAAGTTAACAGTACAGGAAACAATAGCTTTTCTTCCATTTTATCAACACATTAATCATTAGAATTCTTCAAATTTGTACAACTAGATGCAATATATGTAATGATCTTATTTTTTATATTGTTGTATTCTTTTGGTTAAATCTACTATGTATATTTTCAACACAAAAGATGGATAGTTACCAAAAAGTCATTGTTATCGACTGTAAATTAATCACATTTCCAATACAATTTCTTTTTAATTCAAGAATTAAAAAAAATCCTACATTGATTTCTATGAATGAGTTATGTATCTGACAACATTACCTACAAGTTCAGGTGTAGTGTTATTGGCATGATTTTTTTCAATACTATAAGCAATTTATTACTGATTGGCTCATATAGTATGATTTTCAAAATGCGATGAGAATTTACTTTCGCAGAACATTCATGTCTACACCTTCCTCCTACAATTAGAACTGATTCTCAGAGAAAGAGCTGGTATTTATCTATATGTCAAGAAAATAATATCTCATTCACACATTCTTTTTCCTTTTACCTACCCAGGGTCCCGGTGGCTGGTCCGCCAAGAAAAAGTCTGTATTTATTGATTTCGTCAGCAACAGAAAACTGGTTGTATAATTCATAGAGCTTTGTCCCATTAGTCAGTGTGATAGAGACGTAGAGGGAGGAGTTCCTTCTCTTGGTAAGTTGATGTATGACGTCATTTCCTTAAATGTGTTATTGAAGAGTAATATATAAAGAATTAATTAAGCAAAACTAATTATTTCAGGAGTGTTGTCATATAAATCAACATACGAGTGTAAAGGTATGCAGAAATTTCATTTAAGTAATGAACGTACATGTTTTGAAACCAAAGTAGGGGAATCATTATATAACGGGTATTACATTTTGTTATAATTGTTATAAACTTTATTCTACGAGGGGTGTTAGAAAAGTTCGCGGACAAGTTCAATTGTGAGCGCGCTATTTCCACGAAACCGGTCAAACTTTCCAGATAGAATCTTTACCTTTTTTCAAATAAATATACAAGAAATTTTTTCTCTCCGGTGATTATTAAAAGATATACAGCTTTTTTATTTTGATAAAACTTGCTTAACGGAGCATGCTACATTTTGGCACGTTTACATCAGAAAGACTCTTTATTAAAATTAAAAATTGCACAATTGTAGCGCAAAGAGATTTATGATATTTTACCTGCCGCTAAAGTATTCATGAAACATCACTGGGAAAAATTTTGAACTAAATTGGAGGGTATATGACTGTTTTATAGCCGTTTGTATATGATCATTGAGTAAAAACACAGCCAAAAATCGGAACGTCATTGAGCGTCATGGAGCACTGCACTACGTAAAAATTATGTATGCAGACTGGAAAATGTCTAAATAGAGATTAAAATGTTTCAAGATGCTGCCGGGAATTTCCTACACCTACAAAGGAGAAGTTTTCAAATGGTTGTAGCTTGGTCAAAGAATGGAAGGATTGACACTTTAAAAGATTAACTCCAGCGATACTTCAGTACCCCCGTATCGCATGGACGTTGCGTTGCGCCTATATGGTAATGCATAGTTTTTATACCTGATCGATTAACTGATTAACTGCATAAACTTTTTTTTAAGATCTCAATAATATCCGAATCAGTACAAAAGACATTGTCGAAGAAAAGAAACATTTCTTGATATAAATATTCAATTTTAAAGTAGAAAAAAAGATCAGAAAAATCTTAAGATTTATAGAACTGCGACAAAGGTTAACGGGTTGAAATCTGGTTGTTACGTCGCCTTACGTCAAGTGATTGCTCCGTGAATCCCATAACCTCATAGTAAAAATCGTTGTAAATTTTTCAAGATTTTATTATATGGACCTGATTTTTGACATACAAATAAACAAAATGTAGGAATTTATTCAGATATAGGTCATACTTCACGGTGCTCAATAGATTTTCCGTAATTCAATGTGTCCGCGGTCTTTTCTACCCTCGTAAGTGATAGAAAGTAAAATGCTAATTAAAACTGATAACTATCAGAAAAAAATATCATCCATTAAAACAACATAAGATAATTTTATTATACAGTTATTGAATGGGTACAATGGAAAAATCAAATCAATGGTTCCCTAGGGAGGGGAATATTTATCTGTATCTGGAACCTTAACCCTTGGGGAGCCATAAATTTGCTATGTCCTCTGTAGTCATTCAATAACTGTTTATAGTTTACCAATCCAGTAGGAGTCGTTAGGGAAACCAAATCCATCCTTATACCCCGCCCATGTTCTGTCGAATGACACGGAACCACTGACCCGTCTCTGGATAGCCTAAGGATTATGAATTGTGAATTATGTCGGGTTTATTAAAGAAAAGTAGTGAATATCATTTTTTTAAAGTTATGAATAAAATAAATTAAAAAATAAGTCTTCTTTAATTTTATTAATACAATAACTATTTCAAGTTGAAAAAAAAAACTTTGTTATCAAATTTATGATATTTATGATATATAAGAGAGAGAGAGAGAGAGAGAGAGAGAGTTACCTGACTTGATGGTTTGCAGTATACTGCTCTTCAAACCTTCGTGGATGTTGGTCACATTTTTCATCAGGATGTTAAACATCTCGTAAAATTCTTCTTGAATTTTCTTTTGATTAACCGTTATCCTCGCGTTTTCACTTCTCAGGAAGTCAATCTTTTCGTTTATTATTTTTATAGTCTGATCATTACGAACGCAGTCATTTTTTTCAGCTGAATAAATCTGCTGAGAACTAGCCGCACAAACGAACAAGACGTACACGAAGATAACTACACAAACTCCTGTCATGGTTTTACTTGCGCTCTATCTGGAAATAAGCGACTCTTAAAAATCTGTAGCTTATAAACCCTTATACGGGAAGTTCAAATTTCCATAAAAGATGAATCTACAACAACACTTTAAACTTTCAGCAGCGACTTGTAATTGAAAATCAAGAAACAATAAAAATATCACAATGCATGGGTCATATGTAAAATTCAGAGTAACGGTGACAGTTGGTGGCATTTTAAAACATGATTTTATATATACCAATTTTAAATCTGAAAATAGACATGTTGTTTTTAAATAGGATATTTTTATTGATAGACTCCAAAAAGTCAACACTTATTAATACTTATTAATACTTAATAAGACTAATAAGATTAAGTTTAAATATTTAAAATCACTTTTTTAATCTGTTAAATGAACAATTGCTATACATTTATTTTTTTTAATTATTATTCAAGATTAGTTTTGTAATTGTAAACAATATTTAAAAGTGTTTTTTTTTATTATTATTCAAAACCAATTCGTATTTCGATTAACACTAATAAATCTCGTTCTGAATTGATAATTATTCTAAAGGGACCATTGCAAATTTCTGAATATATTGTCGTCAAAACATAAAGTATCTCTATAAAGACTGAAATAAATAGAGATAAAGAAAATATTCTATAAGATATGAAATATATGGAGATATTAAACAATATTCTATATGATATGAAATATATAGAGATAAAAAATAATATCCTATAACGTATGAAATGTATGGAGATAAAGAACAATATTCAAGCTCAAAATTCCATTAAACATTATTTAAAAAAAGCACTGCAAACAAATTTCGATTTCTACTTAAACAATAAAATGCTTTCTTTGTTTGTTATTACTGGAATGAACGGAAGCAGCTATTGCAGAAAAAAATTTACATAACCCGCTTACGCGGGTTATGTATTTTTTCTGTAATAGCTGCGACTGTTCATTCCAGTAATAACAAACAAAGAAAGACATTTTATTGTTTATTATACCCGCACTTTCTAAAGAAAATTCGGGTATATTGTTGTTACTCATGTCCGTCCGTCCGTCCGTCCGTCCGTCTGTCACACTTTTCTTCCCTGAACTCCTCATACATTTTACACAGTAGCTTAATCATCTTTTAAGAGATGGTTGGTGGTGTTATGTAGATGTGCAGTAAGGTTTCGGAATTTTGATTTTGCCCCGGGGGTCAAATGGGGGTCAAAAATGACTTTTTTGTGCAAAAAGTCCCGTCTTCCCTGAACTCCTTCTACATTTTACTCAGCAGCCAAATCATCTTTTGAGGGATGATTGGTGGTGTCATGTAGATGTGCAGTAAGGTTTTGGAATTTTGATTTTGCCCTGGGGGTCGAAAAATGACGTTTTTTATGCAAACAGCCCCATCTTCCCTGAACTCCTCTTACATTTTACTTAGCAGTCTAATCATCTTTTGTGGGATGATTAGTGGTGTCATGTAGATGTGCAGTAAGGTTTCGGAATTTTGATTTTGTCCGGGGGGGTCAAATTGGGGTCGAAAAATGACGTTTTTTGTGCAAAAAGTCCTGTCTTCCCTGAACTCCTTCTACATTTTACTCAGCAGCCTAATCACCTTTTGGGGGATGATTGGTGGTGTCATGTAGATGTGCAGTAAGGTTTCGGAATTTTGATTTTGCCCCGGGGGGTAAAATGGGGGTCGAAAAATGACGTTTTTCGTGCAAAAAGTCCCATCTTCCCTGAACTCCTTCTACATTTTACTCAGCAGCCAAATCACCTTTTGGGGGATGGTTGATGGTGTCAGGTAGATGTGCAGTAAGGTTTCGGAATTTTGCTTTTGCCCCGGGGGGTCAAATGGGGGTCGAAAAATAATGTTTTTCATACAAAGAGCCCTGTTTTCCCTGAACTCCTCTTACATTTTACTCAGCAGCCTAATCATCTTTTGGGAGATGGTTGGTGGGGTCATGTAGATATGCAGTAAGATTTTGGAATTTAGATTTTGCCCCGGGGGTCAAATGTGGGTCGGAAAATGATGTTTTTTGTGCAAAAAGCCCTGTCTTCCTTGAAGTCTTCCTTAATGTTACTCAGAAGCCTAATCATCTTTTAGGAGAGTTAAATATTTTGAAAATTATGTAAAACATCAACGCCAAGGGGTAACAAGATGTGTTTGTGAAATACTATGCGCCCGGCGTCAACAAAGTTCAAAAACCTATTTTTAGCATATAGGTCACAGTCAAGGGCACGAGGTCATTGTCCCTGATGTCATTTGAAAGAACTTAATTAGTGGAGTATGCATACCAAATATGAAGTCTCTATTTCTTATGGTTCAAAAGTTATGACAAACAGTTGAAAGACCTATTTTTAGCATATAAGTCACAGTCAAGGTCACAAGGTCATTGACCTTGATGTCATTTGAAAGAACTTTATTAGAGGAGTATGCATACCAAATATGAAGTCTAAATCTCTTACGTTTCAAAAGTTTTGGCCAAGGTTAAACTTGACAACAGACAAACTGACAAACAGATAAACAGACAAACAGACAGTACAAAAACAATATGCGCCCCGAAAAAATTCGGGCGCATAAAAAAACATGGCATGCTGGGAAACACCTTGAATTCTTATGAGTAATTTATGTACATGTCAAATGTGAGAGTCATATCTCATCTCAATCAAAAGTTATAAGCAAATGCAACATTTTTGAAAAGTAGGTTAGGGTTGATCGCTTCAAGGTCAAGGTCACAGTGTAAAAGTCATGATTTATTTGAAAAGGTCTTATCACAGGTAATAATAAACATGCATTATGATATGAATGCCCTAACTTTTCTCTTTCAAAATGGTCTTATCACAGGTAATAATAAACATGCATTATGATATGAATGCCCTAACTTTTCTCTTTCAAAATGAAGAATTTATAACAATCTAATTTTTTTGCAAGTTGATCAAACTTCTAGGTCACATGTAAACCCCCCCCCCCCAAAAAAAAAACCATGCCATTCTCACAGGTAAATATACTAATACATAAGTTTAATATGAATGTCTCTTCTCATTCAGTAGATATGACCATGATAACCAAGGTTAAATTTTTTGAGACAGATGGACTGAGTCTGACATACAAATGTACATATTTCTATATGAATTGGGTAAAATTGGCCCAGTGGTTCTAGAGAAGTTAAAAATGTAAAAAGTTTTCAGACAAACAGATGGACAACACGTCACGACAGACATTATATGCTAAGGAAACCAAAAAAGCTCAAATGAGTGTTTTGAAAGGGTTACAATATGGTTGGAGGATTTGAAAAGCTGTTTTTTTTCCTGCAGAGATATGCATGACCAACATATTTATGTTTTATATTTTCTTAAGTAATTTGTTTGTTTGTTGTGAATACATCTTCCCTCATATGGAGACACCACCAAATAATAATGAAGATAAGATGTGTTTGTGAAACACTGATGTCCCAGTATGGAAGCCTATGGCCAAGGTTGAAGTTTCTCAAATATATGTCAAACTCAAAGGTCAAGGTCAAAGGGTTCAAATCGTCAGTATCAGAAGAAAGTCTTGTCACAAGGAATGCACATGTTAAATAAAGAAATCTCTAGTAATTCCTGTTCAAAAGTTAATTGCCAAGGTTAATTTTTTTTAAGTGGTTCAAACTCTAGGGTCAAGGTCAAACATATTTATACCTGTTGACAGTTCAAAATGAATACAATATGTCATGATAAGTATGAAAGCTCTAGCACCTACTGATCAAAATTTAGGCAGAGTTTAAAGTTTGGTATTTTTCTTGTAAAAATGTGTATCCCATGTCAAGCGATCAGAGGTAAAAATTAATGGTACCCAAATAAAAGGTCTTATTAAAAGGTCTTATTGAATTGTCACATGAAATAAACCTATAAAATGTGAAAGCTATATGTATAGCCCATCCCACTTAAAACTTATGGGCAAGCTAGCTAGGATTTAATTTTTGCAGACTTATAGACAGACATACTATAAACACAAGAAAAAAAATATATATACTATTTAACTGGAATCACAAAATAGATTGTTATTTCAGGGACAGGAGGAGGGTAGGAAGATTGGAACCCCCCCCCCCCATCTGGCATTTGCTTTGTTATTTAAACAAGACTATATACTGTAGCAAGTAAAAAATGACTCTTGACATCCTCTTCCTATAAACTTAGAAAACATTGACCTCACTATCATTGTTTTTTTTATTTGTTTATTTGTTTTCATTTTTTTTCTCCTGCTTGTCACGAAATTCTGGGCTGGAATTTTTTGACTGAGATGTGAACCCCCTCCCTACTCCCGAAAAAAATTCTGGATCCGCACCAGTATTGGCAGTAACTGAATGTCACATCGACAACGGGAGATAACTTCACAATATGAAATTCGTCTAGTGTGGCATGCGATGATCTTTGACCCTTTTTAAACTTTAACCTAATCGTTTGGGTGTATTTTACTCCCCACTATACTAAAACTTCTACTTACCGACTCCCTGTGTCTCGTAAACTTCATGAAATATAAATCCAATTATAACA